GGGGGCTAGGTGGAGGGGGGCAACGGGGGAAATTGTGGGACATCTGTAATACTGTCAACAGTAAAACAAAAACAAAAACACATACTTCACTCCCAGGAGAAACAGCCCCTCCTCCAGGAAGCCCTCCCTGACCTCCCCTCCCACCTCACCTCCTCAGGTCATCCTCGAAGGGCAGGAAGAGCCACTTCTTGGGCATGTCCCTGAGGAACAGGTTCTGCTCCTCCTCTGTGCTGTCCTGAGACACATACACCAAGGCCAGTTGAGCCGCCCGCAGCACATAGAACTCATCTGTAAGCTGAATGAAGAAGTCCCTGAGGAGCGGTGCAAAGGCCTGGCACTGGGGGCATGACCCAGTGCCGAAGAAGAGCAACACCAGTCGGTTGTCCAGCCTGCGGCTGAGCTCCACCTCTGTATCCAACTCGTCCTGGTCACTGTTGTTTCGGATCAGAACTCTACCAGAGAATAGGGAGGCCATGGCAGCCCTGGCTAAGGCCTGAAGAAAGGGTGCAGGGACTTTGTATGGCCCTGGGCCTGCTGGCTGGCTGCTATCCCAGGATTAGGAATCTTTAGGAGGTCAATTTAGAACCTCACTAATCTGCCTAAACCATGACCTGATTCTGACCTGATTCCGCAGAGCTTCCCAAGGCAGGAGGCAGCTTCCCTTGGGCCCCTTCTCAAGGGGTACCTGCGGCTGATGCACAGGACAACTTTCCAACCAACTGAGCCACACCGCCTAGGCCCCATGTCTCATTCTTGAGCATCCCCCAAACTGAATCCTTTGAGTCCCTTAACACAAGGAAGCCAATGTAGCACAGGGGTTGACAAACCTTTTTTGTAAAGGTCCAGGTAATAAATATTTTTAGCTTTGTGTGATATACAGTCTCTGTTGCAACTTTAAATTCTGCCACTGTCATGCAAAGCAGCTCTAGACAATATGGAAATGAATTTGTGTGTCTGGGTTCCAATAAAATGCTATTTATGGATGCCGAAATTTGAACTTCATAGAATTGTCATGTGTAATGAAATATTAGTCTTTTGACTTTTTTCAACCATTCAGAAATGTAAAAACCATTCTTAGCTCGTGGCAAGCTGGGTTTGGTCTGTAAGCTGTGGTTTGCAGACTCCTTTTCTAGCCTATTGGATGAGAGGCCACAAAGAACTAGATGCCCAGCCAACAACCAGCACCACCTGCCACACATGTCATCCTCTAGCCCAGCCACCCAAAGAATATTGCAGAGTGACTGAGTCCAGTGAGATGAGCAGAGGGACTGACCACCCAAGCAACCCATGGTATCCTGAGAAGTGTATTGAGGAAGGTTAATAAGAAGCTAGGAAATTCCTTGGCAAGTGGAATGAGGGAAACTGAAACATATAGCCAAACAAGGCCGAGCAATTAATAGCCAGCTAATAAATCACAAGATCTTATCTTCTCTAAACAAGGACACTTAGGAGCAAGTGGTTTATATTTCTCCTCCCCAACCAGAGAATGAGTATTTTAAATCACCCTAGACAGATAGATAACAGAGACCCAGATGGTGCCATTAGTGCCAGCCAAACCCCAGAATGGATGAAGTTGGGGATAATAACAAAAAACACACAATTAGACTCAGACAAATCCAAGATAAAAGTAAAGCAGTGACCCTAGCCAATTTGGCTCAGAGGTTAGAGCATCAGTCCCTGGACTGAAGGGTCTTGGGTTCGATTCAGAGGCTTGGTCAAGGGCATGTACCTTGGTTGCAGGCTCCATCCCTGGCCCCACTCGGGGCATGTGCTGGAGGCAACCACTCCATGTGTCTGTCTGTCTGTCTGTCTCTTCCTTCCACTCTGAAAAGCAATGGGGAAAAATATCCTCAGGTGAGGGTATAAAAAAACCAGTAAAGCAGTGAAGCTGACTAGAGAATGATCCCAGACTCCCCTATAGGCTCATTTTGATGTATCAGCATATTAAAGGATACACCTGGGAAGCTGTTGAATATTCTGTTGAGACTCTCCCCTGAGACTTCCCTTAAAACTCCTACCTTTAGAAAACAGATAAAGCCAGGCCAGTGTGGCTCAGCGGTTGAGCAATGACCTATGATCCAGGAGATCATGGTTCTATTCCTGGTCAGGGCACATGCCCAGGTAGGCTGGATCCCCAGTGAGGATCTCTCATCAATGATGTTTCTCTCTCTCTCTCTCTCTCTCTCTCTCTCTCTCTCTCTCTCTCTCTC